GGGGCCTTCACTGGTAGATAGCTGATGTTACAAAGAGTAACTTAAGCTACTTTTATGTTAAGGTTACGCGCAAAAAAATTCCACGCAGTCGAAGTCGCGGGGAACAACTAGTACCTAATAATTAATTAAACCATAGATATAGCAACTAAATAAGATTAAACATATATTTTTTTAGCTCTTACAATGACTTCCACGCACTAACCGCAATACTTCATAATAAATTATTAAATAAATTATATTAAATAAATTATTAAATTTTTAATTTAATAATTTATTTAAACTATTATATGTTAATTTCAATAAAATAAAGTAGAATGAAATTAAATAGAATTGAAAGTTATAATGAATGTTATAATTGTTTGTGCATAAAATATGGAAGGGATTAGTTCCTCACATACAGGATACGTAGTCCAAGAGCTACGGTTCAATCGGTATCATTTTAGTTTGACTCTAATAAGGTATTATTATAATTATAATTAAATTTATTTTGAATATGTATTTCTTTAATTTTCTTTTTAAGAAACAAACAACACCTGTAGACGATTTATTACGTGCTAAAGCCATGCTGCAGATATACAATGATTGTAGCACGAATGGGTCCGTTCGACTGGGAAAGACCACGCTTACACAGAATACTAGCGTGAAATAGCAGCTTAATGCTGATGTGTTTAGTATGGTAAGCGCCGAGAACCTTTCGACTGGAAACGGGGCATTCCGTCTTACTTCTCAGGGGTCGCATAACGCATCTGCATTATGATTCTTAATCGAAGATAGATGTAGATGTAGATGAAGACAGAATCTATTTACTATCAGGTGGACTGTGTGCTTGTTTGTCACCTTTATTTTATAAAAAAAAAAACGATTTTCTTCTCTTACTTGATCAGGTGTCTGACATTTAAATGTACAGTAAGCGTTTCATCAAAATAGGTTTCTTTAAAGAACTCCGCATGTCTAAATGAAAACAAATACATAGTTTATTTGACGCAGACGAGTCTTTTTATTTAAATTTCGTAATGTAGCTTTGACTGGTATGGTCGTCCGTCAAAAATTGGACAAATAACACAGGAGGTCATCAAGCGTAGCGTATGACAAACATTTTAGGCATTCTGAATAAAATAATTCTGTGGAATTAATTTTGTCCTACATCCATACTAATATTAAATATAATATCAAGGATTGTGAAGGTGTTTTGATGTTTGTTACTCAATCACGCATAAATGTCTAAATACCTTTGGTTGAAATTTAGTATACATAGTGACAGTCTTCTGGAGAGTTTTATTTTCCTATGGTGAAGAAAACCCTCTTTTTTTCTACTAGATTTACACAGTAAACCTAGTAGAGTAGAGTAGTAATACGGAAAGTAAACTTGCCTTCTGAATAGCCGTGCTTTTTTATGATTAATAAGGAATAACTCGTTACCAGGTCTGTGAAAGTTCGGAGATTTGGAGCTCCTCTTGAATTTTATAGAATGCGGACAATTCGTTCCTCACAGCCACTAATGAAATTGAAGAGGATATGAAAATAATGAACGACGATATACGTAAAAAAATATGTGCCTTACTTAGATTGAAGAACACCGCTCGCCGTCGATATTCTAGAACCTTGAACCAACCTTGAACTTGTGATATTATTTAGACTATTCAAAAGGGTAAAAAAAAACTACAAATATTGACAAACTTTTTAATAAAAAATAAACGCCGACTTCATAAACAAAAAAAAGAAGAAATTTCCAAACAATATCTTCTTAGCAATAGCTGCTAGTCTTAGCACCGAGCACCGACTTTAGAAGCTATTATGTGAAAATTATTTTATTTTTGACGTTGGTTCTCATATTTATTTGAAAGGTAAATATTTTTTCAACATCATCGGTAGTCTAATTTAACGAACTAGATAGGTATTAAATTTGAAAAATAGATGTTGAATATTAGTCTGCCAGTGCTAATTTATTGAAGGTCTAAAATTGTAGGATATTTGCCGAGTCGTATACAGTATATAACTAATAATCTTTATGTATTATAATTCTTCTGTTCGTGTGTATGTAACTAAATTCCTGCTAAACGGCTGGATCGATTCTAATGTAAATTTTGTGTGTGTGATTAAGTTGATTCGAAAGTGGTTTAGATTCACAATTAGGCCTGGTCTGTAGCTGTTGTCGAGATCCGTAATTCACCCGTTTGAAGTCGGGACGGATTGCTATTATAAAGATAAAATTCAACAGATTATTACATAATAGATAGAGATGTCCAAAAAATTCGAACTGACATTACCTGTGATGCAAAAAGTGTTTCTAAAAAACAGTGATCATACCAAACAGAATAATATTTTTACCATAAACAGATATCTTTTACCTATCAGACGTTAGATTTAACCTCTTTAAAAAGTTATGTACTTCTAATACCTTGTTGAAATTCGAATAGTTATCGATTATTAAAAAAAAAGTAGTTGTAAAATGCTTACTAATTTCAAAGATACTCATCTACGAAATAGTAATGATGCGAAACTATAACAATATCTTTCATTAAATTTCAAGAATTACTAGAATTTCGTTATTGAATTCCATACATACATTTTACATTGATTATAGATAGAGCTTTAGATTGATGTTAAAATTACTCCTTATGAAGAAAAATAGTGGACGTTTAAAAATCTAGTAAGATTTTATGATATGTTTTATAGTCACATCTTTTTAATCAATATCAATGTGTATTCTTCGAATAGCTTTTTCAGTTGCGGAAAAATTAGCTGAAAACACATTCTGGTTTCACTCTGTATACGACTCGGCAAATATCCTACAATTTTAGACCTTCAATAAATTAGCACTGGCAGACTAATATTCAACATCTATTTTTTTAATTCAAAACTTGTAAATAGTTCATTTTGACTCAATTTTACGTTTGGAAAACATTCGTCACAATAATTGAGTCTAAAGGGAGGCACCTTTTAGACGAACAATTGTGACGAATGTTTAAATAATCATACAGAATCATCACTCCAAGTAAGATTAAAATGCTTGTGCTAATAAAGTTTCACGATAGTAGTTGAATAGCGGATTCAAGGGGACGATCTTAATAATTGCAGTTTGTACCCTTAACCATTGAGCTTTGGTAACTCTAGGACTAAGTGTTTGCCGAAAATTTCACGGTACGCGAGCAAACCGCGTTCGATCCCCGCAGGTACCAATGAAATTGTTAACTGCAATTTAAGTGCTGATTTACCAAGTGCCTTGCGGTGAAGGAAAACATCATAAGAACATTAGCATATCTGAGAAATGAAATATTTCGAAGGCACTCGCTAATACGCAGAGCATAGAGCAGCTCGGTGGTCCACTTGCTACAATATAAAAATAATAAAATTGTGCCTATATAATTTTGGAAACTTTAAATCAATAAAATATCCTTAAAATATGACTAATCGTTCATATGTAATTTACTTTTAACATGAATACATAAATCGTTAAAGCTATCATGACATTGACGAATGTTTACATATTACAGGCGAAATGTTAATGTGGTGCGCCTTGAAGTTGATGCGATATTCGTAAAACAAGCATCTTTATATTATCTCTTATTTATTATATTTCTACAACAATGGTGTACGGATGCCATTCAATAAGGAAGTTACCGTTTTTTTTTAATTGGAGGTTCACGTCGGTTTCGTTTCACTGTCATATGTTAATTGCATGGTTTTCAAGATGCGTGTAAAAAATCTACCAAAAAGGGCTAGATAAGAGTTGAAGTATCGCCGACAAAAACCACAACCGATGGGAAACTCCCACTGTTTGCTGCTTTCCTTGAACCCCGTAACGATGCGTGATCACTGATCAGCGACGCTATACGCATGCAGCGTCCATCTGCCCTCCCCTCGAGGCATTGCTATTGCAGTCTATATAAGAATTCGATACCAAGTCTTTGTCATCTGTGAGTTTGTGGCTGCAGTAGTGCCGTGTTGTGTGCTCAATACGAATAAATCAAGGTACAAATTTATCGATTTTGTATCTTCTCACTTTTGTTATAAGTATTACATATTCGATAAATGATACAATTATGAACAAATATATTTTCATAAAAACGAGGTTAACAATTTAAAAATTAGAATATTTTTAAATTATTAATGTCGTTCTCATTTTACATTGCCTACTTATTTTTTTTAATCAAAATTATATAGTTATATTTGTCCCAATATTTACGATTGCATGAACACCATAAGAAAAAAATCCTACAGATTTTTCCATTCAATAATCTTCTTATTTTCCTATAACTTCATTTTATTTTAAGGTTTTTAATCTGTTTATAACGTAATAAATGAAAATTATCAATAATTGCAACAATACCAAAAAAATTATAAACTAAAAAAATATATGAATTATAAATATATTTGATAGTGTAATGATGATTAAAATTTGAGCCTTAAAAATGTTTTGTTTTTTTTCCTTGCCGCAACATTTACATACATTTTTGCGTACATACCTATTTTCATTGTTTATTTTAAAACTGTATTCATTTAAATTGTTTGCTTGCAGCTTAAAAATCAAATCAAAAACTATAGGTACTGATTGGATTTACGTGCAGACAAAAAAACTAAATGTAGTTACGTAGTACATATTATTACCGAAGCGTTATACATTTTGTTCTGCAATTAATCAGTTACGTATATGATAAAATTTTTATTTTTAAATTACATGCCATTATAGCAGAACTAAGAAATGTGTTTAGGAAATCTCGACAACATATAATTTCTAAAATTAAAATTTTATTTTGAAAATACCGTGATTGGTTGGTATAGGAAATTATGTATATTTTAATAGTAACAATGGACCTTGCGGCTACAATAATTCTAATAATTCTAAATATTTACACAACATATATATATATATAGGCTTCGTAATTTTTTTAATTTACTATAAGGCATAAGCCAGTGCTTGGCCAATAGAAAAACAAAATTAGTAATGTGAACGCCAAAATATTAGAGTTGAATTGATTATTCCTTTCAGAATAAGAAAAATGCAGTTTTCTACAATCATCGTATTAGTCTGCCTTGTCGCAACCGTTGTAGCGAGTATTCATTACGAACGGCCAGTGGAAGATGTAGCCAGTTTTAGTAACGACCTTTCTGCATACGAATCAGTATATGACGCACCGCAGCAGGAAAGGAGCCCAAGGACGAAGAGAGGACTTCTGCTGTTAAAGAAAAAGTTACTTCTAGGTAATTTTGACGTTTTTTATTATTCTTATTTCTATTTATAAAAATAAACATTATTTTTTTCAAGTAATTTCTTGGTGAGGTACGTCCATAAAGTCCTTAAATATTAAGGAGACTAGCTTTGGGTTCTCACATTGTAATTAATCCCCAAGGCCTAAGGTTTATCCATAAATAAAACAAAATCGGCAATTAAACTCTCATCTGACGTAATATTTATCCCTTTTAACATCCATGGTAATTTCGCTAGAGAAACGAAAGTTTTATTTTAGATATCAAAATATAAGCTTGTTTACGTAAAATATGTTGAATTTATAAGACGTAATATACTAAAATGCATTTAGAAAACCTGAACTGCTCTTATGGCATCGCTGGTAGGTCAGCATAATGGGTAAGCGTTCTTGGAAAATATTTTGTACTTATTTGGACGATATTCTAGATTGAAATTCTAGGGCAGTTCTACGAGTAATTACGTACAGCACAATATATTAAATAACGACAACATCTTGGTTAGCTGTAGTCTCCATTTGCTAATCATTTGTATTTCGGTAATTACAAGGGAAATGGTCTTTCAATTTAAAATAACTGACGCATTAAATTAATATGTTACATTGAAGTAACTTAGTTTCTTTATTATAAATATGAATAGTAAACAATAATTAGTATATTAGAGAAAAACCAGGTCTAGCAGTAAATTATTAAGAACTACTATTGTTCTTCTTTTAAAGCAGCTTCTTTACAAGCAGATAGAATTGATATAAATTTGACTACGGCGACTGCTTTTAAACTGATCAACCAAACAGTGGTTAGGCGTTACTGTGCCGCCTGCGGCAAGCTCGATTCCCGCTCGGAGGTAAAATATTTGTAGTATATAGGCTTTAGTTAATTGTTCCAGGTCTGGATATTTGTCCGTGTGCAATTTACGAATATTAAATGCCTACACGATACAGGAGAAATTTCTCGAACATTTTTTTAAGTAAACATATCTATCAACTGCGCAGGAGATACTATAGTGCTGTCATTATATGCGAATACATACATACATTCGTATTTCGTACCCTATATAACACGTAATCTATAATTTCGAGTCACGAATAATTAGTCCCTTACACAACCAAAGTAAGCCCCAAAACAAAACAATTTATTTTTGAACAAATATTGTTTCTTGCTGGCATTCGAGCCCAGAATCCAAGGCGTGCTAACCGCGGGCCGCGTGGTTTACATTTAGTAAATATAAGCTTATATGCGAGAAAAATGCCGCAATATTTTATTGTTGTGGGTTCAAAGAATATAATAATTTTTAATAAACAGATTAATTAAAATTAAAATATATATATATTTTCTTGTTATGAAAAAGGTATAATATCTTTTATAGAATAAGTGCGACAAACCTATTCGCCTATGCCTCGTTTTCAGGAAATTACCTATCTACTTTTACTACTTTTTGGGTGATATTCTATGAGAGCGTGGTCACTCCCTATTCGTGCTACAACTAAAATCGTTATATAGCAGCAAAGTGGCTTTACCTAATGAAATTAACTTTTAATAAAAAATAAAAACCGACTTTGAAGAACGAAAAATAATATGATTTTCACATAAAAGCTTAAGAAACCGGTGTTAGATAATTCACAGTGATTTGAATTTTGAACAGTTAAAGACATGATTTGGTATTTTCATGGCGAAATTATTTAATTTTGTTTAATTCCTTGAAATCAGATTTTACTTTTATTAAAACTTTAATTTTTTGAGCCTTTTGAATGAACAAAGGAATATATAATCTTAAGGTAACACTAACAACTATAGAATGTCATCTAGATAGTAATTTTAAAAACTTTTTTCCCTATTTTTCTCCAATGGTGGATTTTTTTCCAAACTTATATAGGACGACCGCTGTGGTTTTTATAAAAAAAAAAACATCGTTAAAATCGGTAATCAAAAACAAGACAGGATATAGGCAGCCACGTACTTCCTCACAACAACTAGAAAATAAAAAAAACGTGAGTGCCAACCACCTGCCAAATGTGAAAAATTGCAAATATGAGACAATCTATGTGGAGGTCAATTATGGAATTTGATAGACAATGAAATTATATTAAATTCACGAAGATACCGTGTAACATAAAAATAAAAAACGAACATACAGTCGAAACGAGAACTTTCTCCTTTTATAAAGTCGGCTAAAACATTTGCTGAACGGTTAACTGCGTAAAATGTAACCTTTTATAGAACTATACCATTGGGTGTTTGTATTTAAATAAGCACATTCTGCACTTTTTAAATCGGTCCGCAAAACTACACTTCTGGAGATAGGCCTGTAAATCCGTTATTGGTAGACGGATTACTGAACGTAGTATTATACGTAACCTAACTTTCACTATGCTTCTTATTTTCGGTCCAGGTATTTTACGTCTCGGGTAAACGACATGGTAATATCGTTATCTCTCAAAAAGTATAAGCCTTTTCTAGAATTTCTCATACACGCTTTTTGCGATGTTCGTTTTATTTAAGTACTATTTAATGTATTATTGTCTATATGATCGATCAAGAGGTGCCCAATAGGTGTTCTGCATAAACATGAAATGTTGGTTTTCGTTTATGGTTCTGTTATAAATTTCCCCGTTTACCTTGTACTTCATTCTGGTCAACGTCCAATCTTTCTTAAGGGTTACGTCATACATGGGTAGATTCGGAATTGAGTATACTAATTCGCTTTCGATAAATGTATATAAACTGTCGCCATGATTGAAAATAGGCCAACAAGATATTATTATCATAGTATTTACAATATAATGTGTCTAACTAACCCGGTAAAAGAGACTACATTCTAGAAATTAGTTTTATATGTGTACGTTGACCCATGACCTTTATTAAATACAACCTTTATACTAACATCACTACTGAGCACAGACTTCCTCTCATCTCTGGGAGAATGGATCAATAAATCCGCTGCGCTGTTCCAATTCGTGTTGGCGGACCTCATATTGTTTTCGAAATACATATTTTTATTACTCATACTTTATTGCTAGATGAACATGGACAAAACAAAGATCATGTTTAATGTCCATGTCACACCTATGCCGGTAGTTGTTGGGAGCACTGAGCTCGAAGTTGTTGACGAGTATGTATACCTGGGACAAATAGTCCGATTAGGCCGATTAGTATATAATAGCCAGCTTTTTCACCTCAAAATTAAGAAAATAATGGCACATGAAAAATATTTGGAGAGGTACGTCTATAATATAAAAATGAATCGCTGAATGTGTTAATAATAATAATACGCCCGGTGGAATCCCACATATGGCTCTGATGCATTTTTTTTGCTAAGTTAAAAGCTTATTGCTAAGTTTGCTAAGTTGCTAAGCGCAAACCTCGAGAGCGGCTGAACCGATTTCGCTAATACTTTTTTTATAATATTCCTTGAAGTACGAAGATGGTTCTTACGGAGAGAAAAATTTAAAAAATTGCCTGAAAAAATCTAAAAACAACACTTTTCTATATTCCCATACAAAAGATTCGTAATAATACTTAAAAGTCAATTTGAACTTTAATACCATACCATAAAGTTTAAGTGTTAATGGGGGTGGGGGTTCCGGGACGACAAAACAATTGAGTGACGTTAGTATCGTATAAATATTAATGTCAATATTTGTCCATATTTATACACACTGGCAGATAGCTGATGTTTTAAGGAGTAACTTGGGCTGCTTTTATTTTAGGGTTCCGCGAAAAATAACTCCACGCGGGTGAAGTCGCGGGGAACAGCTAGTTATTTATAATTCTCTGCTGAATGGCAGAAACGGGGTCTGCCTCACATACATTTATTGTTATGTATGGTTAACCGCATTTCGCCTGACATGGTGAATGAATTTATATGTGCTGAGATATCAACTCCAAATAAAAGTCCTATTTTATCAGACATAATTAAAACAATATGATACACGGTCCATGTGGGAACTTTTATAATAATTCTCGGTGATGATTGGGAGAATTATTATTAATGTTCAACTTCGACCGAGAGGTCAATCGACGGATTCAACTCGGCTGGGCAGTGTTCGGGAAATTACGACACATCTGACGAGAGTCAGGTATACCTAAAAACCTGAAAACCAAATTGTACAGCCGGTGCGAGTTGCCGGAATGCAGGAAGTCGATGGATGCAGGTGGCTCAGGACCGTTCTTGGTGGCATTCCTTGAGGGAGGTCTATGTTCAGCAGTGGACTTCTGAAAGGCTGTAATGATGATGACGATGATGATTACTCATACATGCAGATTTCTTCAGGATATTTTTTATTCATCGCCAAACACGTGGTAAATCAACACATAAAAATTGTGATAGCAATCTGTTGATGTTTTCGGGGTTGAATCCGGATTGCTTGCGTATTGCAAAATTTACGGCTACCGTTTCGGCACGGCTATAGTTGTATAGTAATAACAATTAATTAATAATATACTATAAAATGTTATTCAATATTACGATACATGATCAATTTTTGTCCATGACCCATGACCATAAAATTTCAAGGTTCTGTAACGATGCTTATCAATCGAAGAACGTCGTTGTTACATGGATCAAGTTTGATGAGCCATTTATATGCTCGATACGTGAACAAATACCATCATTTCATAACGTTTAATCAAAAGATATGTAAAAAAATTCCCATTAAAATAAATTAGCAATTAATAAGCGCACCTGTCATACAATCAAGGTTAAAATAACCATCCGTTTGATGACATTGTCATTTTTGTCAATACTAATCTGATTCATAACGGGTCACCGTTGCAACCATATTGGCTCGCGGTCATGTTTTGTAGGATAGTCAATTTATATTTTGTATTATCATGTGATTATGCTGTAAGAGAATATATCATTCAAACGAGTCATAGAGTGTTTTACCTATAGATGTCGACTCAGAAAATCTCGACATCTTTGGTAGACTTTTAAAAAAAATATATATTAATAATATATCTTGTCAGTCTCTATATTGGACTCCTGACCAAAAATGTTTAGTCTGTGTTATTAGATTATTTATTAGATTTTATCTATTAGATTAGAGCAGGCTGTGAGACATTCCATCTTTGTCCTCAGGGGTGACAACGCATCTGTAGCTTTATTTGTTTGAAGTTTTCTGCAGATGTAAATAGACTACATTCACCCACTTACCATGAGGTGGAATATAAGTTCGTTTGTCACTTAAGTTTTATAATAATATGCTGTAACAACGACGTTATTTTAATTTTAAATTTTGTAAAATTTGAACTAAAAGAGATAATATGTACCCTGACGATGCCGTAATGCGAAACCGGTCGATTTACATGGTAAATATATAAATAAGTACATATGTCAATCCAAATTGACCTTCACAACTGAAAAGGCCTTTAGTCCACTGTTTTGTTTGCAAATGTTTTAACGCGCTGTTTAAGTTTAATCATAATTTGACTTTGAAAAATTTGACATGAGAAGGTATTTTCCTTATATAAAAGTATGGCGTATTGATTATTAAAAGTAACTTGTCATATAAATGAGTATGAAAAAACCCATCTGGTATTTGAAAGGGACGAAGAGAGAACGAAGTGTGAAATATGGGTAAATCAGGAATGTCTAGAACAAGTAAATGAAATTGTATACTTGGGGAGTGCTTTTAGACGGGATGGAAGATGTGATTTAGATGTGGACAGGCGTGTCGCTGCCGGGAACAAAGTCAATGGTGCCCTGACTGCGTTAGTCAAAAGGCAAGGCGTAGTGAAGAGTGCACGCCTTGCAATACATAACGCAGTGTTGGTACCGACTTTGTTATATGGCAGCGAAACCTGGGTATGCCAGAAGAAGCATAAAAGCAAGTTGAATGCAGTGGAGATGCGATCTCTTCGTAAAATGTGCGGCGTTACCATGGCCGACCGAAAGCGAAACGAAGAGATTCGCAATATGGCAGGTTTGAAAGATGACCTTATCACAAAAATTGATAAGGGCGTGCTTCGGTGGTTTGGGCACGTTGAGCGAATGAGTGAAGACCGAATGGTGAAGAAAATATATAGCGCGAAAGTTAATATTAAAAGGTGTCGAGGTAGACCGAGACTAACTTTCGAAGACCATGTGAGCAAATTGCTCGAAGAGGGTAGGGTCAAGAGTACTCGGATACCTAGACGTGCATGTATGAAGAAGATAATGAATCTGAAAGAAGCGAAAGAGGTATGTAAGGATCGTGACACTTGGCGATCTGTTCTCTCTGGCTACCCCGTCAGGGATTGTGCGTGAAGATAAGTAAAAAACCCATCAAGATGTTCTGTGGGAACTTGCGGTCACTAATGAATTGCGTTTGTTTAACTACCAACATTACAATAATCACTTACATATATGTTAGGTTGTTTGCAAAACTTATGACTGCATTTACATTAACAAAGTAAATATTATGCTTTTGAAATGTGTACAGTAGGTACTATTTAAAAAAGTAATATTACCAATCTTGAATTGCACTTCAATTCCACAGATATATAAAAAGACCTTCTAGTGAATTCCAAAATAGTTATAGCAAACTATAGACATAATATTTTGATAAAAATGAGTTATAATATGAAAAAAAAATAATATTATTGATAAATGTAGCGAATTCGCTTTTGATTTCTCGAAATTATTTAAAAATGTAATTGAATTTATTTATTGACATAATTATCGAATTTCTGAATTATTTATTGAGGCTATCGCAGTCGTGGCTCAAGTCACTTGTGAAGATAGGTGAAGTTCAGCAAAAACCCATTCAGAAATGATAGGGTGCTGACAACAGTGCGACAATGGGTTGTTACTTCATTTTTTTATCATATCAATATCAATGAAAGAGGAATCTATCTAGCATCTATATTAATATGGTAGCGATTTTTTTATGTCTCCTAACATAAATTTTTAATCGTTGAATTTCCAAATACAGACAACAAGGTGTTTTTGAAAACCATAATATTTTTAAACCATTTTATCGTGTATAGCATGTCGCACGGTAACTTACTATTCGTTCAAGTATTTAGAGAAATTCGAATGGTGGGTTAGGATTTTACTATTCAGCACAAATGTGCTGCATTGTAATTTATTACCTGTATCTAAGTAAAGTTTAAGGAAAATATCTTTTGTTTTCAATATGCATTAAATAGCGCACTACACTACTAGATACTTTCCTTTTTATAAGACGTTAGTAATCAATTATTCTGCCAAACTTTTTTTTTAACATTGTTGACTTATTATTTGATTTCGGAAACATTTTTATGATTGTAATGAAAATGTTAAATAATATTTCAGGTTTATTGGGACTGAAAGCGGCGAAAGTGGGTGCGGTGGGACTCGCCGGCGCTGTCGCCCTTAAGGGCAAATCGTCAGTACCACGTGAAACTATTCATATCTACTATCACTAACATCGGCTTCTCATTAATACCATTGTAATTATAACACTGTTAACAAATCATATAAAGTACTTTTAATTTTTGTAATATGGCTTTTGCTCTTACAAGTCCAAAAGGCCTATCAATAAAATAGTAATGTATTATTTTTCATATGATTTAACATTAATTTTTCATCTGACAATATTATCATTTGGGATATTTTGCAGTCCTACACTGAACGTAGAAGCTCATTGGTAAGGTTTCATTATATTATGTGCATGTATACATTAGTATCTATGTAAATTTTAAAATGGAATATGGTGTTCTAACTTACATTGATAGTAAATAACAGTAACCTTATCAAAAAAAAAATCAAAAAAATTAACACCCATTTTAGGTCACTCTGGTGGTAGGCCTTATGGTTTTTTATCTTAATTTTAGTAAAATTACATTCCCTGGCATATTGCAAATATAAAAGTGATATGTATTTTTAATTTTCTTTGACTACGTGAATAAATACCATTTAATTTTGTCAGAGTGACATAATATTATTCGAGAATTTTATGTGGAATTACTTGTGAGTTTTTTATAATTTTTATAAGGGTCAGGTTCAATTAATAACATAAAATTAAATAATATTAAATAGATAAAATTAAAGTACATAGTAAAACGTTATATTGTGTGGTTAATAAATCACAAATACAGCTATTGTTATATTAACCACAACTCGCTTCGCTTTATAGAGCATATTATGGAGCGTTTTGATCAGTGATTCGGTAATATTAAAGAGATGCCTACAGCATTAATGAATTTCCGTTATATAAATAGTAAGAGTTTATACTGAACATTTTTGAATTGAAACTTTCACAATTCTTGTTAGTAAATAGCATTCACCTGGAGCAGGCATGTGAAGTCATATTGTACACAGTGTCAATGACAAAGATTTGAGATTTCGGGTAAATAATTAAATTAGCTATTTACGCGTCACGTACTTTGATGCGCCTGTTAATGTTTGTTTTTGAGGCAATTCGATTGGTTTATTATTCATGTATGTAATGTACAAATCGTGTGTTTCGTTAATAAATATGAGATCAATGACAATATCGACTGTTGTGATATTTGGTAAAACCTGATTTTCATTCATAGATTGGAATGCGGATTCCTCCGGTATATAAATGTTGATGAACTTACAAAAGTATTTTTGGATGGTATGTGACGTTCTTTACTGTGAAACAAATAGTTGTTTCTTGAATGCTATCTAACTTTGTGAATTTAGCTTGTAACAAACTGTCGTTAGAGCGTATAAGTCCGTAGCTGCACATCGCTATCCTTCAAGTCGGTTGTTTTATGTAAAGATAAATAAATAGATACAACATACAAAGATGCTTACACTTTTAAGACCTTGTCACCGATGTTGCGGTTGAGCGTCAACGTTGAGTACTCCTAGTGTCCTAGTTAGCCTTAGTGTTAGCATACTTAGTTTGCACTTTACACGCATTATAATTGTCGTTGTTCAATATGTACCTACCTGTGTTTGTTGGAAATATTGCATGTTTCTCATTATTCTTTAAAGCATTTGATATAATTTATAAATTTCATTTATATAATACATATTAAAATGTTATTGTAAATGTGAACTTCATAATATATTTTTTAATCATTTACGCTTATCGTATCTTATGTTTTTACGTGATAGACCTATGCAGCAGCTATATTAGTAGCATATCTGTAGCACAAATGGGTTGGCACGACCGGGGCCACGCTCTCACAGAATACCAGCGTAAAATAGCAGCTAAATGCTGCTGTGTTTCGCATGGTGAGTGTAGGGAACCGGAGACCCATTCTACTGGAAACAATCTTAGTCTTCATGGCTGACAGCGCATCTGCATTTTGATCCGTAATCAAGGATAGATGTAGATTTCTATGGGCCGCAGCAACCTCTTACCATCAGGTGGACTGTGTGCTCGTTTGTCACCCTTATTCTGTTTGCGTTCTTATTCTGTCTGATAAATATTTTGTACAGGAATATACATTTTTAAAACTAGTTACATAAGTCACACTTGTATAATTATATTCAACTTTTTTTTTCAGATGGTCGGGTTAAATCTCAAGCCTGATGATTTACTGGTGCCGTCCAATAAGATAGAAGATTATTTTTTTATTTTGCAATTCGTAAAATTAAGTAACTGCTGTCGGAAGTGAACTGATTTAAATATAGGAAGGCTATCACTTTTTGAGGGTCTTAGCGAACTTAATATTACCATAGTAATCGAAAAACTATGCCATATATTTTTACAAAAAACCCTTGAATTGTGTCTACGATAAATGTGTTCAAGTTTGTTATAATATTTATGACAAAACGGGTAACTGTTATGAAGTGTGTTGTGTTTTGTTTTTAATTATACGTTTAAAAGAAATCGTTTTTTTTTTATTACAGTTCTGCTATCATACATCCGAAAAATATTATATAATTCCGTTGTGTTCAAATAAAACTAGTTTTTACGGATTCTGCCGCGTATATTAACTTATTTTATATTAACGACGTTTCGAGCATACACAAAGCATCCATGGTTACGGGAGGAACTGAGCTGAGGTATTCGTAGTCCCAATATCATAGTGAACCACGGCTACCTCAAGATTAAAATTATAAATTGTGCCGAACTACGCAGTCCTCCCCGTGACCATGGGTGCTGTATAATAATAATATGTATAATAATAATAGGTTTATTTGTTGACCACAAGTAATACATTAAAATATGTTAATAATTGCTTATTATGTCCTACATCATGCACCATTAATTAGTATACAAATATTTAAATGGAAATAAATTTTCCGATTAATTGCAATGCCATACTATTACCGATTTCGAGGTCAATCATCAAATCATAATTGTATAGTTTTAGTAAATTTCAAAAGAAATAAAACAATCAAAAGAAGAACAATTTTGTAAATAAAACACAAAAAGAAAACAAAATCAATTCAAATTTTTCATGAATAATTTTATGCAGTAGTAAACTTTTTCCACTAATAGAGCTTTTAGGTTTTTTTTAAAGTCTTCTATTTCATTTTCTTTAATATTGTTAGGCAAATGATTGTAGACAACAGGAGCTATCACTAATATACTATGTCGTAATAGTGCTGTTTTACTTGCTACACTAATTAATGGTTTATGCTTTAAACGTGGAGTTTTTCTTTTTTCGCTCGAGGTTAACAATGACAGGTTGCAATGCACTAATGTTGCTACTTCATTTTTATAAGCTAGGAAGTATCAGAACTTTATATTCTTTAAAGTATGCCTTACAACTATTAGTAGATTTAAGCTCGAATATCGACCTAACACAATTTTTCTGAGTTTTAAATGTAGTATCTTTATCCGAACAGTTGTCCCAAATTATCATACCCACGAAGCAAATACAAAGAGTACATGGCATAAGCAACTTTGTACTGTGAGTTTAACTAGGTCTTGACGTCATCACAGTGGGCGTGGCTTTACTTAGTATACTGTCAGCGTTCGACCTGTGCGCTTATGTGTCGAAAATCGCAAATATTTTTTTTTACTTATTATAAGCCAGTGCTTGATCACAATCCCACCTGCTGGTAAGTGGTGATGTAGCCTTAGATGGTAAATCGCACTGTCTTATCGTAACAAAAGCCAAAAGAGTGAATACTCTTGCCTTGAAGATGCTCAGATTGTATTCGGACGGAAAGATGGACGCCGGCAAATTATTCCACTGCTTTGCTGTACGCATTACAAAAGACGAAGCGAATCGTTTAGTTCTAATGTGTGGAATATCGACAACAAAGGGATGAAGACCCGCCGATCGCCTGGTTGTCCGATGGTGGAAAGGAGAGGGAGGAATTAAAGCGTGTAATTCCTGCGCACGCTCACCGAAATGCATCCTATAGAATACCGAGAGACCTGGCTACTCTGCGCCTATGCTCGAGACTGACAAAATTGGTTTCAACCAAATCAAGGTCACCAATGACCCTCTTAGCACGTCTCTCCACTGAGTCCAATGCTGCCAGGTGGCATTTTGCAGCACCAGCCCATATGTGACAGCAGTACTCCATGCACGACCGGACTTGCGCTTTATATAAGGTCGTCGTCGTCTCGGCGTGAAGTACCCCCGCACCCTTGCAAGGACACCAAGTTTCCTTGCGGCTGCTTTGGCTGTGGACTCAATAAACCGCCCATAGTTTAGGTTCGGAGAAAATTAAATCCCTAGCAACTGAAGGCGGTCAGTGTACTCCAAGGATACATTCCGGAAAGTAGGAGCCAAGGTGAGCGGGCTCCTTTAGCAGTAAAAAGACACGCTTGTGTTTTGGAGGCGTTCAATCTCACGAGATTGGCATCGCCCCATTCGGAGACTCCCTGTAGTGTGAGACTTACACGCTCGACCATAGCCACTCTTTCTGACTGGATTTGATCCTGACTGGCCCTTAGCACTGGCACTTGGTTGGTATTTCTCCACAACTGTGCTGTCGTCTGCATACCCATAGATACCGGGCGGGAATGAACAGATCATTTATATACAGCAGGAAGAGAGTTGCAGAGAGAACGGACCCCTGAGGAACACCGGCGTTAGTCGCCACAGTACCGGATGAGCACCCATTAACGACGACCCGGAGAGACCGTTCACTCAAAAAGTCCTTCACTCAGGCAATAAGGCCAGGGGATAAGCCATACGCTGAAAGCTTGCCCAACTAGACTAGCGTGCCAAACCCTGTCAAAGGCCTTCGAAATATCGAGGGAAACAGTAAGTGCTTCACCACTGTTCTCGAGAGCTTTGAACCATATGTGAGTGGCATACGCTAGAAGGTCCCCAGTTGTTCGATTTCGGCGTAACCCGTACTAGCGATCACTGAGGAGATCATTTTATAATTAATAAAATCAGGCGTTACTTTACGGAAATCCATTATATAAGAGCTTTTAGAAAAATTTACTTCGCAAATATCCGTGTTATAAAATAAAATGATGTGTCTTACCTAGTATGAAGAGCACCTCCCGCCCTCCCTCAATTACGTGCACTAT